AGACGTTCATCACGGTTTTGCCTTCCACCTCAGTTACATCGCTATCTTCTTTGGTGGACTCGCCCATTGAACGTCTTAGGAGGAGTCTCTTTGACAGAGCAGCCTCCGGATTGCCAACTGTTCGTGGACGCCCCTGCAGGGTTGGAAGCCACTTACACGCGACCAGACAGCCTCCGCCTGTGGTCGGGTCAACACATCAACTGGCATATAAACAGTCTGGAGTTGGAGGCCGTGATCCTCGCTATTCATCATTGGGCACATCGACTCACGAGGAACTTGTCTTCTAGTGGCTACAGACAACACCACGGTCGGTATGGTACATACGAAGGCAAGGGTCGACACACTCACAGTTTCTCCTCGATCAGACATTTCGCTCTTTCAACTGGTCGACGATCTCCACATTCTGTTGAGAGTTCGGCATATTCGGGTGCCGCAATATACTAGCAGACGCTCTCTCGAGACCCGACAGAGTTGCTCCCACGGAGTGGATGCTACACAAGGAGGCCTTCACTCTTTTAAGTCACGCACTGGGTTATCCAAACATAGATCTGTTTGCCACCAGCCAAAACCATCAACTGCCAGTGTATGTGTCCCCAGTCCCAGATCCAGCGGCTTGGCCGGTGGATGCTCTCAGCCTATCATGGGAGGGACTTCACGCGTATGCGTTCCCGCCACCAGTTCTATTACCCAAAGTTCTCGCAAAAGTCAAGGAGACAACTTGCTTACTACTAATTTTGGTCGCTCCTTGGTGGCCAGCCAGGAACTGGTTTCCCGTTCTACAAAGTCTAGTGGTAGGAGAAGTTGAAGTTTCGTCCGCCGGCATGGAATCTCAACACTGTTTTAGACCATCTCCGTGGTGCACCGTATGAACCTCTTGATAACGCTTCCCTCGCTGATTTATCCAGGAAGACGGCATTTCTGTTGTCATTAGCGACTGCGGCTAGAGTGAGTGAGGTTCACGCCCTTGACGTGACTAGGATCAAGTTTGAACGTCGTGGTCGTCATGGTTCTGTGCACTTAGGTATGTGTTGGGATTTCATCGCTAAAAACCAACTACCAGGACAACCTGATCGCCAGTTTTCCATCCCGCCATTATCATCTATTGTTGGCTCTGAAGACGATGCGGAATTACTGTTATGTCCGATTCGTGCGCTCAAAACTTACATTGATCGCACCAAAGGCGTTCGTGGTACAAGGAAACGTTTATTTCTTCCACTGTCCCGGGCGTCGCAGTCAGATGTCAGCAAAAACACTATTGCCTTATGGTTAAGAACAACCATTCTTCAGGCATATAAAGCGGCTGGGCTGGACCTCCTACGCCCTCTCATCCCCACGAGATTCGAGCACTTGCTTCCGACTATGGCACTTCAGAGTAATTGCACTGTGTCATCCATTATGCAAGGTTGTTTTGGCGGTCGGACACAGTGTTTGCCAGTCATTACTTGCGTGACATGGCTGTCAAGGACGTTAATGATGTCCACAGCTTCGACCATTGGTGGTTGCTCAGCAACTCGCCATTCCCGAAGAAAGTGACCCTCCTGCCTTGTGTTTCCTTCCACGGACCACCATGTGGGGAATGAGTTGTTTTTCTTCACAAACAACTAGGTATGTCAGTTAAGGAGTTATCCTTGTTTTTTCAAGTCCATGCTTTTTGCTGCATTCCTTAAGCTTCGCCAGCTTTAAAATTAGTGGGTTCTTTTCATTTAAGACGCAGTCTTATTTGCGAATTACCGCTACTTGATCGCCCCTCGCTAATTAAGCTCTCTGTTATAGGCGGCGTCATCAACGCTTTCGAGCACGGGATTACGGATTGAGCTGGCTGCTATTACGTGCTTGCGGCGATCCCTCAGATGACACGCCCACCTTCCAGCCTGTCGGATAAAGTGCAGGAAGTAAGTAGTGCAGGATTAGTTAAAAATTTAGTAAAATCTAAATATTTTTTATATTTGTATACTTATCCTGCACTACTTATGATAAGGGCCCACCCTGTGCTATCAGCTACCTCCCCGCTTAGTTTTGCCATCTGTGGGATTTCTAAGCAATAATCTGAGGTGGCTGACGTCACCTTCCGGTGACGCATGCGCAGACGAGTAAGCAGCCGAGACCAGGAAGTGATTGCAGTTCTACGTCTTTTTGACATCGTCTGGCAAGCCACGCTTTTCGAGCCGTAAGCAATAAGTGCAGGAAGTAAGTAGTGCAGGATAAGTATACAAATATAAAAAATATTTAGATTTTACTAATTTCCCATAAAACGTTGTACCCAATGTCTTCAATTATGTCAATTATGGTGATTACGCAGACACCAGTCATTTCAGGGTGACCTTTACCTTATTTTCAAGGTCACCATGACACTTTTCAAAATCTTACCAATCTCAATATGATCATGTGACTAATAGGTTAAACAATATAATATGCTATTCTACCATGGCTACGCGAAATGCTCGATTTTGATTGGTCAATCAATAAATTTAGACGCTCGCAATTTTGAATTGAAAATTCGTCAGATTTCATGACTGCTTCACTGCGGAAGTATTCAACACTGCCGCATCAGCTTGACCACCAACATGGCTAATATCAACACAACAGATGTTATGGAAATGCTGATAAAACATTTATTAAAACTCGAAAAATACAATTATTACATGATTTTTCCTCCACAATTATTAGGGAACCTCACTATCATATAGCCTTCTATAATAAAAATATTCAAACTCAATTACAATACACAGCCCCAAACATAAACAAACAATATCTAACATGTAAATCAGAAAGCCTTGTAAATTTCATCCCTATCTATACAAAATGTGCAGCAAATCCTTACTAAACATTTACCTACCTGGTAAATGGTATATATGTTTCCGTTTAGAATCATAAGAATGGGAAATTCGCAAGATAACGGTCAGGCGAAACGCAAAATTTATGCCACTCACACTCCATCATGTCCCGTTGCATCGTTAAAAAAATACATGTCAAAAATTGAACCACTAGAATTCTGCTCTCTGCCAGCTTCCCACAAGGCTGTCACTGCTGGTGATCTATTTTCGTACACTTTGAAAAAAGTTTGGCCACAATCCAGTCCCAAATGATGAAAACAATGTTCCAAGGAATCCCAAGTTAGCCGCATGTACGCAAAGCAGCACTGTCACTCTTTTCGCCGCATGCTGGGGTGGAGGCACTTACAGCCTATGTAAGTGAAATCATGATCCACACTCGCTGGTCGTACAAATCTTTGAATAGTTTCAGGTCGTAGGTCGTTCAGAAAAGGATCTATTCTTCAATTCTGCAGGGTTCAGATTCGACAGTCAGTCAAGTATTTTCCACTGTCACTCAAAATGTAAACACTGGCTGTCCGCCATTTCAAACTGTTGTGTAACTGTCAACAACTACAGACTGCACTTCCAAGAAAAATAAGTAGGTCAGACGATTCCATTATAGTGTGGCCAGGGGGTTAGAGTAACACGGCACGCAAAACAATAGGCTGGTTTCGGTCATGTGGAGTTGGGATTATATAAACCAAGCTCTTGGGTATTACATTATTGCATTGAATAAACAGTAGTTAGTTTTCTTTGGACAGAATATTATATATGTTGCAATGTTTAAAAAAATACGAACGGCACCTTCCACTCCCTGCACAGACAAGTTCAATTTGCCTCTCGCACCATGCCGGATTTCCCAGTGTCTTCAGCGGAAGGAAGGAGTTCGATTTTAAATCGGTTATTGTAGAATGGAGATAAACGTATTGTGTTGGAAAATTAGATGAATGTTAGGCAGAATTGATAGTCTCTAAATTAATCATTTGAAACCTCACATTCATCTCATTTCCCAACACAGTACGTTTATCTCCTAATTCTTTCATGATTAAAAGATTGTATTGTCTTTGAAGATTTAGCTATAATTTACAGTCACCTGTTTTGAATATAATACATATAACTCGAAATGTTAACCTCCGAGCTGAAGAATATATTGCCATTTCTTACAAATTTGATGTCAGGAATTAACATAAGAGATATCAGGGTAGGGTAATAGAGGGTGGGGTACATGGGTAGAAAATTTGGACCCCTCCCAGCCCTAATACACACTGATACTGACAGTGGATATGTGCATCTGCGGCTATACATTCACATCTATTATTATCCCCCACAACGCGTTTTGCAGGGGGTATTAAAATGGACTCCATCCGTCCGTGCGTGCGTCATAGATAGATCTGGTGGTCTACTGGTGCCTTTTGGTAGTTTTGGATTTCTGAATAAAATATTTTTTGCATTTCCATGGTGACAACTTTGACTTAGACTGAAATTGGTGGTAGTGCTCTATTCCGGAGCATAACTCTAAAACCATGCAATATTTCTTCACCAAACTTGGCACATAGATAGATCTGGTGGTCTACTGGTGCCTTTTGGTAGTCTTGGATTTCTGAATAAAATATTGTTGGTGTTTCCATGGCAAGAAGTTTCACTTTGACTGAAATTGGTGGTAGTGCTCTTTTCCGGAGCAGAGCTTGAAAACTGTTGACTGTTTCATCACCAAATTTCATACATAGGTAGGTCTAGTGGTGAACTGGTGCCTTTTGCTAGTTTTGGATTTCTGAATATAATGGGTTTTTTTGTGTTTCCATGGTAAACATTTTGGCCTCAACTGAAATTTCTGAAGTGTATATGGGTCAAAAAACAATTAAAAAAAACATTTTTCTGGTAAGTTTACATTTTGGGCCAATAAAAACATTAGGATTTTATTTTTTGAGTGGGCATTTTTTTAATTTTATTATTATTTCTTTCCTCTCTCTCTCTCTCCCTCTCCTTATTCTTGAACAGATATGACAGGCGGATCCGTATACAAGAAATAATATTGGTCTGGCCTAAATATGTTATATTTCATTCTTCTTTTGGGGCGGGGATATTGCCATGTTCATGGCAAACATTTGTCAGGTAACTCTCTCCAACCTAATCATTGCTTTCACAGGAATAAACTGTCGTTTAAAGGAATTAAACCTTCTGTTGCAGGAGTGACTTCATGACCCTACCATTCCAGGCTGTCGAGTGCTACATGGGGAATGTCACACCTCTTCAAGGTGAGTCCTCTCGAAGAGAATACAGTTAGTCTTGATTTTAAGCTTTGTAATTTACCTCTTTCTGATTTTGTCCACTGTGTATGTACCTAATACCTAGCCTAAGCTTGCCGACCGCGTCCGTGGTGTAGTGGTTAGAGCGTCCGCCCGGAGAGCGGAAGGTTGCGGGTTTGATCCCCGACCGCGTCATACCAAAAGACGTTAAAATATGGTACTTGTTGGTCCCTGCCTGGTGCTCGGCATTAATGGGTACAACAAGGACTGGTCGGCTCGGAGTCAGTATAATGTGTCTGAGTGGGGTATTCATGCTTCTCTGCGACATGGTGTCTCAGTGGGCTAGCACTATAAAACCAGCTTCCATCTGGGCTAGTACAAGCAGCCACCCATACACATATACACGCATGCACGTCGTCATATGAGCGAAATATTCTCAAGCACGACGTTAAACCCCATATCACCTCACCTTAAGCTTGCCCTTCATCATCTATATAGCTCTATATAGGAATAGGTCCTTGGGTTGATTGTTTGATACCTCAGTGGCAACCTAGATTAGAATCGGTCCACAGGTAGATAGTTTTATATCGCTATGGAAATGAGGGTTATAACTGGCCCATAGGTTGGTTATTCAATATCACTATGGAAATGAGGGTTATAACTGGCCCATAGGTTGGTTGTTCAATATCACTATAGAAGTGACGGTTATAACTGGCCCATAGGTTGGTTGTTCAATATCACTATGGAAATTAGGGTTATAACTGGCCCATAGGTTGGTTGTTCAATATCGCTATGGAAATGAGGGTTATAACTGGCCCATAGGTTGGTTGTTCAATATCGCTATGGAAGTGAGGGTTATAACTGGCCCATAGGTTCGTTTTTCAAGATCACTATGTAATGGAAATGAGGGTTATAACTGGTCTATGGATTATTTGATACCTCTGTGGCAACCTAGATTAGAATCGGTCCACAAATAGATTGTTTGACATTGATATGGAAATTTGGGTTTTAATTGGTCCATAGACAATATCGCTATGGAAATGTGGTTTATAACTGGTCAATGGATTGTTCAATATCACTATGGAAATGTGGTTTATAACTGGTCTGTGGATTGTTTGAGATCATCATGGAAATGTGGGTTATAACTGGTCTGTGGATTGTTTGAGATCATCATGGAAATGTGGGTTATAACTGGTCTGTGGATTGTTTGAGATCACTATTGAAATGTGGTTTATAACTGGTCTGTGGATTGTTTGAGATCATCATGGAAATGTGGGTTATAACTGGTCTGTGGATTGTTTGAGATCATCATGGAAATGTGGGTTATAACTGGTCTGTGGATTGTTTGAGATCACTATGGAAATGTGGTTTATAACTGGTCTATGGATTGTTCGAGATCACTATGGAAATGTGGGTTATAACTGGTCTATGGATTGTTTGAGATCCCTATGGAAATGTGGTTTATAACTGGTCTATGGATTATTATCCCCTGCCGCGCATATAGCACTAAGCGAGGGATATAGTATTAGGCTCTGTCCGCACGTACGAATTGGAATATCTTAAGAACCGTTGACTAGATTCTTTTCGTATTTGGTACCTAGGTTCATCACCGTAAAAAAGAAGGTCCCAGTCAGGTTTGGTGACCTTGACCTTCATTTCAAGGTCACAAGGGGACTTTAACGCTTTACACTTGGCAGCGAGATATCTCGAGAACCGTTTACTGGATTTTCTTCATATTCAACATCAAGCTTTATCTAGGGAAGATGCAGAGCCCAGTCGATTTTGGTGACCTTCACCTAATTTTCAAGGTCATGGCGACACTCTGAAGATTTCAGCATTTGTTAACCTGCATGTAAAGATTGTCAGCGAGATATCTCAAGAACCATTCACTGGACTTTCTTCATATTTGACACCAAGCTTCATTTGGGGAAGGTGCAAGGCCCAGTCAATTTTGGTGACCTTTACTTAATTTTCTAGGTCACGGCGACACTTTGAAGACTTCAGCATGTTAACCTGCATGTAAAGATTGTCAGCGAGATATCTCAAGAACAGTTCACTGGATTTTCTTCATAGACTTTCAAGTCTTCCCTTGAATGTTTTTCAATAAGCAATTTCTTTATTACTATTTTTGCATATTTCATACACTTAGACATTCATGTCAAGGTCAAAGTGAGTCTTGAAAATATTTGTGCGTTTCAACAACTACAGAGCAAGATATCAAGAGAGGTTGACTGGTCATGTTTTTGTTTACATTTAACTTCATCTTAAATTACGACCTTCACTTTCATTACTTTTTAAGTTTGATTTGATAATTTGCGTTGGGGGATTATGTCACCTTAGTGACAATGCTTGTTTGAGATCACTATGGAAATGTGGGTCATAATTAGTTCATGGATTGTTGTGATACCACAATGGAAATGTTATCTATAATTGATCCTTGGGTTTGTGTGATACTGCTATGGAAATGTGGATAATAAATGGTATAGGTTGATTGCTTGGAAATGCTGTGGAACTGTGTGTTATGATTGGTCCATAGGTTGATTTTTCGATACCCCTGCTTGTGGGAACCTTGGTATAATTAGTCCTAGTCATTTGTTCAATACGCCAGTAACATCTTGCTGAAAGATATGAAATGATGGTACTTGTTATGCTACAGCCTTGCCCTTGGGGGAAAAAGTGATTAAAATGAGGGTGAGTGTGGGATGGTGAGGTAGCCTTGTGGTTGAAGCGTGCGCTCATCACACTGAAGGACCAGGTTCGATTCGTCATGTCTAGTGAGGGGCAGTGGGGTAGCCTAGTGGTTAAACTAAACTCCATTTCTAGTGTCCCAAGCCAGTATATTGCCGGAATATTGCGTTAAAACATACTCGCTCACTCATCCCTTTATGTTCACTTCATTATGTACAATTCATGTGGTGTACGTTTCAGAGGAGGAATATTTCAGTGACCAGGGTAGTACAGTGTTGGAAGAACTGACCCAAGGCAAACTACTTCAAGCTCAAGTCATTAACCGTGCTGAGGATGGTATCCCATACATCCATATCTACCAGATCAGTGGAAATAGGGTGAGTATTGGCACTATATCTGCCAGATTAGTGTACATAGGATGAGTATTGACTCTATATCTATCAGATCAGTGGAAACAGGGTGAGTATTGGCACTATATCGACCAGATCAGTGGAAACAGGGTGAGTATTGGTTCTATATCTACCAGATCAGTAGAAACAGGGTGAGTATTGGCTCTATATCTACCAGATCAGTGGAAATGGGTCGTTATTGGCTCAATATCTACCAGATGAGTGGAAATGGGTGATTATTGGCTCTATATCTACTAGGGGTGGGTATTGCAGAGGATTTTCATATTGCGATATATTGAGATTCAAAAGCATATATTGCAATATTTATTGCACTTGAACAAAACGGAAATATCCAAAGATTTCCGAGTGTTATAAAGATTTCTGAATGCATGTCGAAATACCGGTTTTCGATCAGTGTATCGCAATACGTATTGATTTAATGTCTGAACTGGTAAATACCGGTAAACCGGTTATATTGCGCAGCCCTAATATCTACAAGATCAGTAGAAATGGGTGATTATTGGCACTATATCTGCCAGATGAGTGGAAATGGGTGATTATTGGCTCTGTATCTACCAGATCAGTGGGAACAGGGTGAGGTATGAAGTATTGGCTCTATATCTACCAGATCAGTGGGAACAGGGTGAGGTATGAAGTATTGTCTCTGTGTGTACCAAAGCACTTAAAACAATACTCACTTGTTCCATGAGCTGAGGTCTTTGGTAATCAGACTGATGATCTTTTACAGGTGCTGTTTATTAACAGAGAAATGGTCAACCGGAAAGCAGTACGCTGGATTGAGATCCTGCAGTAGCCAGAGCCATCAAACCACAGCCTTGGTTGAGACACAACCACCCAAACAAACAATCATTATGACACAAAAACTGACGATCAAGTGCAACAAAACCCATACATGCTGCTGTACATAGTCAATTATCAATCAGATTACATTTACATTTTAAGTTGTATTCTATTTCTAGTCTTGAAGAAATGAACAAACGCTGACACAGCAGTTAATGCACTCTCATTTTGAGCAGTGACCTATGCGGTGTGATATGAGACTTTATCACCCAGGCATACTCTTTTTTTATATATTTTGGGGGTTTACGGATTTGGTGCTAACTATTTAGCTTAGAATGATCAAAATGTAATTTGTGCACCTCGTTTTATTTAGCTCACCTCTGAAAATGACAATTTATGCCATAGCTTATTTGTGTGGTAGAAAATAAAGCTTGGACCAAAGATAATGAACCTGTAGGTTTATTCCCACCATTCATGTCACCTGAATTTCTTGAAAAAGTTTGACTCTGACTTAAAATAATGGCCATTACACCCATGTTGAAAAAACATGGGATTTTTGTTTTACCTGATATATATGAAGTTGGTTGTGTTCTGGTTTTATTAAGAATTTTGACCTTGATTTCATCTTTTCACTTTCATCATGCCCGTCTTCTGAAAGAGGGGCAGCCTAGTGTTTAAACTGTTTGCTTGTTACTTTGAAGACCCAGGTTTGATTCCCCACATGGGTACAATGTGTGAAGTCCATTTCTGGTGTCCCCGCCCTGATATTGATGGAATATTGCTAAAAGCAGCGTAAAACTAAACTTACTTAACTCACATAAGGCGCTGATTAAGTCGACAGATGTCATTGTATCCCAATTGCGTAGATCGATGCCTTTGCTGTTGATCACTGGATTGTCTGGTCCATACTTGATTATTTACAGACAGCTGCCATATAGCTGGAATATTGCTGAGTGAGGCGTAAAACTAAACTCACTCATCTTCTAAGGTGAATTGGTAGACTGCTGAAACTGAAATTTGATGCACGTTTCTTCTGGTGATATCACATTTTGTTTAAATCTTGATTTCTTTCAAAAATAGCTCTAGATGTGTTAGGGGCGTCGGGGTATTCTAGTGGTTAAAGCGTTGGCTCGTCACGCTGAAGACCCGGGTTCGATTCCCCACATGGGTGCAGTGTGTTAAGCCCATTTCTGGTGTCCCCCGCTGTGATTTTGCTGGAATGTTGCTAAAAGCGGCGTAAAACTAAGCTCACTCACTCACTCTAGATATGTTGATGAATACTTCTAGAATCAAGGTTGTTCATGACTTCTTAATCAGGAGACAAATTCATTGTCATAGGCAATGTTCCAAAGTTATTTCGATGTAAATTCCTTTTCAAATACAACATACATGGTAATTTTTTGTGTCCTTGATTCCATTTTTGCCGGGTTTTTTTTTTTTTATTTCTTATGGTTGAAATAAAAAAAATATTCTTTATCAGTCATATTGGCTACAGAGCTTTGCGGCTCTATTTTGTATAGTCTGATCCGTAAACCAAAAAATGAAAAAAGGGTCCTGCTGATTGGGTGTGTAGATTAGAACAAATTTACTGCGAGAAAAAAATGCCAGTTTTGTGATTTGTCAGACATGAATGAAAGGCTTGAAGTCATCTTTACTATGATACAAGACTTAGCTTTGTGACAAATTTCTACCTATCATACTGTGTGGGTGTATATTTTGCTTTGTATGTATAGAAGACTGCCAAATTTATGTCTTTAGTCGTCATGACGATGTCAACAACCATCTGCTCTGTTGTATGTTTCGGTTGTTTTCATCAGTGGATGTTTTGTCTACAAAATATATTGGGTTTTTTCTTACATACTCTAAGTTTACATCAGAATGTGCTATGTTAATTGTGACACCATTTAGTTTTGTTTAAGTTTTGCAATTTGAACACATTTACTTCAGCTGATAGTATTTTTGAAACTGATTGTGTTTTATATGTTGTCTTCAATCGTCTGTAAATGATAATCAATCTATTGATGAATTTTTAACCCAGATCAAAAATGTTTTGCCTTGTTCGTTAATTGTAGTAAGGGACTGATCAAGTTGATATTCCAGTTGGTTAGGGTGAAAAAAACTATTTTTATAAAAGTTCTGTCAAAGATGAAAATATATTTTGAGGACTTTTTCTTCCATTTGGTTTATGGAATATCTGACCCTAAATAATAGACAAATTAACACAAGAACAAAAACAATTATCAATATTTGAAACAATATATTGTTATCACTGTCTACCTGAACAAATTTTGTATTAGAATCTTGGAACCCAATGAGGTGATGACTTGGTCGTTAAAACTATTCTTTGCAGAAGGAATCGCTACTGCAATGATATATGTGACATTGGAATGTTTTCAGAATTTGGTAACCATTTTTATTTAAGTTTATTCTGTACCAAACTGAATTATTTTGATGTAAATGTGAAAACCTACTTTTAACAAATACCCTTAATGAAGAAATATTTTTACTCCTTTCAGAAAAGGAATATGTCTTGAAGCATTTAATAGTCTAATACAAACATTTTGCCAACCAGAACATTTATGAGCTAGTCCCTAATAATGTTTTTCCAAGTGTATTTGATTATTTTATACCACTAATAAGATAAGATTATTCTGTGACTATTAAGGGGAGGACTTAAATTGCTCAAACTGCTGGTTGTTGATGCATTTCTGACAATTATTTCAGTGAAACTACAATTGAATGGTACATATTGTATCAAATGGTGAATGTTGAATTATGTAATGACCACCTGTTTGCTGATCTCGGTTGTGTTCAATGGCCTTTGTTTTGGTGGCGTTTTTGTTTTTTCCTATGTTCAATACACCAACCAGCCTTTTGGCTTCACCCGTATTTAGTATTACAACACATTTACCATCTCAGACATATCTAGTAACGTTACGAAATCTCACCATTCATTCTGTAATGACAGCCATTAAATCGTAGCTCACCCTCACTCACTCAGAACTAAGTCTCACCTACCAAGAAAACATTAATACTTGTTTTTCTTAAGGAATTATCAATAGTATTCTTCCTGTCAAAGGCTCAGAAATTGCCTCAAGTTCTCATGTATCAAGAGTTATCTCCCTTGTTTGGAATCCCATGTGTGTTGGTGATCCATTCATGTTGTAAATTTGATAATAGTGTGAAATATGATTAACTTTTAAATCCATGATATATCAGTAATACTATATTGTGTGTTCATTTCTTTGTTGAAATCAGCTGTGAAATATTTCGCTAAAACAGAGAGCAAAATAGCTGTTATAGTTCAAGTCACAGTGAATTTTTTGGACATACAGGGACCTTCGGTACCTAGACTTTTATGATAAACATTTGGAATTGATACTTATTTTAAAAGCATGGTGTTATCATAGCCCGACCCAAGTGAACAATGGATACAAATAAGTCTTTTGTTACTCACCACAATCATCATCCAGAAACTGTTGAACATTAGCTGATCTAGCTGTGCCTTTGGTAATTCAGGGGCGTTGGGGTAGCCCAGTGGTTAAAGCTTTCACTCGTCACCGGGTTCAAATCCCCCACATGGGTACAATGTGTGACGCCCATTTCTGGTGTCCCCTCTGTGATATTGCTGGAATATTGCTAAAAGCGGAGTAAAACCATACTCACTCGGTCAGGATTTTCAAAATGATTGGGGTTCCTTATCAGAGTAAAAGACTTGATCTTCATTCAGAGAAATATGGATGAGTAGAATATCTGATTTATTGTGGTTGCAACATTGACATTTACAAGTTCTATTAAATATTTGGTAAAAATATAGAAGAATGTCAAATCAGAAGTTACACTGATTATTCTCAACATTGCTCCAGGAAGTTATATTTTGAGACCGATTCAGTTGTAGAGGTGCTTTAGACATACTGCTAACTGTCCCTGTTTTTATTCCAACTGGTGGAAAGTATCTATTGATAATATGAATCTCTTCAGTGTGCCAGAGACTTATGATTGTGGGTTTGAATCCTGGTTTGGTGTTGTTATGTTTCCCAGTTTGTCAGCACATGCTCATGGGTTTCAGGGGCGATGGGGTAGTCTATTGGTTAAAGCGTTCACTCGTCACGCTGAAGGCCCGGGTTCGATTCCCTACATGGGTACAACTTGTGAAGCCCATTTCTGGAGTTCCCCCGCCGTGATATTGCTGGAATATTGCTAAAAACGGCATAAAACCATACTCAGTCAGTCAGTCATGGGTTTCACCAAGGGGTAAATGTCGGAGACTTTATCCCCTCAAGCGTTAAATTGTGCTCCAACTGAAATACTATTCAAAGCAGTGTCAAACGCGCTCACTAACTACAAGCTGGAAAGCAGATTTAATGCCTGAAATATTGTCATTGATATTTCCGATATTTTTAGATACCAAGCAGAATAATGTCTCTTGAATGATTCCTGTCTCCGTTTTTTCGAACAAATATTTGTTTTTATATCCTAAATCATTACACAGTGGAATCTGTCAAATCTAGACTCTTTGTAAACTGGTTTTCTATATAATCCAGACTACTCTCTGAGACTCGGCAAAATTGTTCTTAATTATCATTGAAGCTTGTTTTATAATCCGGACTCTCTCAATTATGGATTATGGACTAAAATAAAGGTCCCGGCAATTAACTTGCTATGAGAACAATGCTTTGTTATCTGGACGTAACAAACAAGAGAAGACGACTTTGTCAGTAAAGACGTCAAATTTGCAATTAAACATCACTACACAAGAATATTTACCTGTTCAGTTCTAATTTGTGTAATGGGGAACATTCCTCAGTTTTCTCCCTCTACCGCTTCGCCATTAGATGGCGGAAATCACTACGGTAACAGACTAAAGTTTACTGATCCGAACAAATGAGTTGGTCCCTGGCTGATCCGTAATAGACAGATTCTGCTGTACATGTATAATGTAAACAGATACTAGCCTGAAAAGAAATTGTCAACCATTGTCAATATATACATGTATGTATCATTAAAGTCAGATGTTAGTGCTTGTTATCACATAAGAAAGATCTTAAATCCCATGTAGAAGTACAACATTGAGGAGATCAACTGTACAGATCAGAGCTCTGTGGATAGATAATTTACCTGATCGTGTAGCAGTCTTCTTAACTTTCAGGTGACAGTTGACTGATACTTGAATATATAAACCAGTAGATGTATTTTGAGTGAAGATGCACTATTGTGATAGTATTCACAAGTATTAGACATTCAGAAAGGGAGATTGACCATTTATTGTATTTCAATCATGGTCAGGGCTCGAAAAAATTTAAAATCTGCACTCGCCCTGTGGGGCGAGTAATATGAACTTTCCACTCGTCCTTCGTCCCACTTGAAAATTGTACTTTCCATATAGATCATTCATCACAGTGAATACAATGTATACATATAAATTATTTATTTCAAACTGTTTGCTTGGAATATAACTACAATAAACAGTACTTACTTTGTCTTCTGTACGAAATCTTTGACAAAATTAAATTCATTCACTATTTAAGATAGCTGAACTTAAAGGAAAAAGAAAAATGTTACTTTTGTGTCAGAAAACGTACTTGTCCTCTAGGACGAGCAAATTATGTTTTTCACTTGCCCAAACAAATTTTACTCATCAATACGAGCGGACGAGTGTAATTTTCGAGCCCCGTGGTAATTGGCTATGAATCCCTTATGTATTACTGTCAAATATTTTGAGTACTCGTCACTACTAGGCCAGCCTTTCAGATTTCAACTCTTGAACTCTTGAACTTTCACCACAGTGAAGCTGTGTTATGGCCGTAAGTTAGTCCCCAACACTATCATGGGACCATCATGAGTCCTTGTGTACCCAGTGATCAACTCCAGAATAGTGTCTGTGATGTTCGTGAAAAGTAGCTACCTCGGAATACATTGGATTAATTTGTAAAAAACTTAGAAAGGAACCCTACCCAGGCTTAAAACTAACACAAAGAATTTGAAAGCAGTACCGAACATTTGGTATTGTGAAGGTGTTTAATAACAAGAGGGGCCAAACCCTTAGAGAAGGATCCAAAGGCTATGGATTGATTTTGGGGGACCTTGCTTGAACGCAACTAACCCTTAGAATTGAAGATCATTGAAGCAATTTGTGAGCTATTGGCACAAAATAACTACATCTGGTAAATTATTTACTTATACATGTAAGTATAGATTGTGTGTCAAGGATCAAATTTAATTGTCCACTTGTCATGTGAAACTAATAGCCCTTGGCCCCATTCCTCAAAGCGATCGTAACCCTAAGAAGATCGTAACTGACATACTTTAACATAGACTTACGACAGTCAGAGCACTATGATGGCTTTGAGAATCAATGCCTTGGTAGTCAATATATAAGGCATAGGAAAAGTATACTTCAGGTATTGAGTACAACTTCTGAAGCCAAATGGCATTCTACAATGTGATATCAATTCTATTATGTTGTTGACATATTTTACATTTTGTAACAAAATATTTTCCCCTTATTTCTTTATTCATGAGCCATTTGAAATTCTGTAACTTTTGAGTTTGAATTTAAGTTTGAGAAATGTTGTCTTTGTTTGGAAATTATAT